TCGTAGCTATCGTAGCCACCACCAACAGCGTAAAGAAAGCTTGTCGAAGACAGCCACACCAACTCCCCCCTAGAGAAAACGTTCATGAGCATTAAGTAGCCTTAAAATGTGATGACCTTGCCTTTTCGTACTCATGGGAGCAACGCTCTGCCAAGCAGGATTTGATTCTCTTGGATCGAGGCGTTCCACAGAAGCGATGGCCTTACCATCACAACATCCTCCCACTAAAAGCTGTATGAGTTAAATATGATAAAACCAGACTCGCCTCCCAGCAGCCTTCGAGACCTCCCTTTCCCTCGCTGCGCTGGCATCTTTCGTTGTGATATTTGCCACCTACGAGGCCAACACCAACGGCCAAGCGTCGAGGCAAACTTTGAGAAAGCCGCCCCTACCCCTCCCCCTCCCAACACAACCCTTCTTTTCACGGCCTGTGAAGAGATGTGATGGCTCTTTCAGCGCAGGTGTTGGCCTTGATCATCTACTAGGAGAACAGGCTAAGAACTGATCACGTTTTTAAGCAAACAAAGTGTTGTTCAGAACGAGCAACTTTTCAATCTGAAAGAAGATTTGGAAGTTTTTGGACGCGTACTTCCCAAAAAGTGCTGATTTGTTCACAAACGGTGAGGAAGTACATGTTCAGTTAATAAACGTGGGAAATTTTTGGGAAGCGCGTGCTTTGCTTTGAGAAGTCATAACGTCCTCTTAATGCAGTATTACGCAAATGTTTTACGACATCGTAAACAAAAATTGCTCGGTTAAGCGGTCACGCTTTGATATGTATGTCAAAAATACCCCCGTTGAAGACGTCTGTCCAAGATCCGCCGAGAGATCTTTCTTACTTGCATTGTCATTCCTTCAGCGAACATAGCTTCTTTCAAGAACTTTGTTTGGAAGAGAAAGGCGTTTTGTGATACACAATTCTCTGCTTTCTAATAAGTGTAGAAGTCACTGCAAGGCTTAAATTTACTAAAATGAATATGTCAAATTCTCGATAAATTAAAGATCAAGGGTGAGGGATTAAACTTTAGAGTATCATGGAACGACGTACGCCAGGTGTGTCGCGCACGGACTCTGTCTTTTGTGCTTGCTTAATAGTTTTAACATCCTTGAATACTCATAATGTTTCTCAACAATGAAGCAGATAGCATTATGTTCGCCAGGACAATTAAACATTGTTTTCATCAATACTAACAATGCCTTACCCAATGGTTGTTGTATGCCGAGACCCTTCTCCTAGAAATAGCCACTTTTCTCACCCAGGCTTGTTGCTTCGCACTATTCGAATGTATTGCCTGCCCTTCATTCATTCTTTGCACCCTAGAATTAAAGCGGAAAAGCGAACTACAAAGTTGTCGTCAACGGAAGTCTCTTCTACTGAAGGATCAGGAAGCACGGAAGCATGTCTAAGCCCCGTTTTAACCTCGCCATTAGCGTAAGGCCGATGTCAGAGTTTGCGAATAGATTGATTTGCATGATTGCTCAGTGGCATTGTACGGGTGTCAGCATAAGAGGGCTCCACTGCTGCCGGAGCGACGCTAAGCGAATAAACTCTTGACTCCAGGGACTCTCAAAGCACGATTGACGCTGAACCACTCGTAGAGTGGTTAAAAATGCAGAAAAATTGTGTCTAATGTGGAAGAAGGTGTAACATCACATCAGATTTGAACATCCGTAATAACTTCGTATAGCATACATTAGGATTCGTCAGCGATCGATTTTGGCTTTCCCTACTCTAACTATCTCGGCTTCTAAAAGCGAGCACGCCCCGATATAGGTCTCCTGCCATCAATATTTTTTATTTCACAATGTTTTTTCCAAATCTAGATCAGTTACAGAGTTCAGAGTGGTACAATATTGAACGTCACTCAACAACACGACAAAATTTTTTTCCGCCATCACACCAGCCATACAGTTTCCTAATGGAATGCAAAACGAAGTGCGCTACGTAAAACCCGGAAGCATGTCTAAACCCCGTTTTAACCTCGCCATTAGCGTAAGGCGATATTGTCAGACTTTGGGATAGATCGATTTGCGCAGGGCTCAGTGCATTGTACGGGTATCAGCATAAAGAGTCGGCGTGCGTGGCCGACATTTAAAACTTTTTTTCATTCTGCAAATCGCCTTCTTTATTCCGAGTACCATTCCCACAGCCACGTATCTCTTTCACCGAGGGTCCTCTCTCACTGAAAGATCTCGAGCCGGTTGGTGGCGAGGCTACGTGGCGCGACCCCAGGTGGCGGATAGGGGGTAAATCGCGGACCAAAAGCCACCATGTACTTGCCCTGAGACGCAGGTGGATTCAGGGGATGGACTCCCTGTTTCTGTAGTGCTGTGTCGATTCATACCAGCTTCTCCATACAGGTGTATCCATGCATGCTTGCGTGTGTGGTGCGCTCTGTGTGTGCGTTGGTATCCTGCATGTCGGCACAGCCAAAAAGCATGGCATATTCAAGTGACTGGGAAGTACATGGGAGGCGATTCGGGGCCGCCTCCAAAAAATAAGCCCCTTGTTCCGCTCCAGGATAGCGTGGCTAACTACCTGGAGGTCTATCCTAGCCCACACGACAGAGCCTGGCAAGCTACTCGTGTGCCTTCAATATGCCGAAAACAGCAATATGGATGGGCCTCATTCCCCTGAACCTGAGGGAGCCCCCAATACGGCAGCGTTGGGTAGGACCGCTCGGGAGAGGCTGCTAGAATCTCAGGGCCCGGATAGGCTGCCTAAACGAAGAAGGACTAAGATGGCGATCTGTACTTTCAACGCACGAACGCTTGCATCCGAAGCTCACATCGAAGATCTGATGATGCAAGCCAGGAAGATCAAGTACGACGTCATCGGACTGACCGAGACGAGAAGGCACCGCCCGCTACACGCCGTTTTCGATACTGGAGAAGAACTGTTCCTTGGAACATGCGACAGCAGAGGCGTTGGCGGTGTGGGTGTCCTCGTCAACACGCACTTGGCCATAAACATCGATTCGTACGAAAGCCTTACGACCCGAATCGGACGTTTGAGATTGAGAAGATGTGGATTCAACTCCTGCTTTGACAATCTTCGTCGCCTACGCACCAACATCGAGCTACGACGAGGAGGAACACGAAGCATTTTATATGGAATTGGAGAAGTTCTACAAGGAAGACCATACCTTCTTCAAGGTCATCGTCGGCGACTTCAACGCCAAGACTGGCCCGAGAAGAACGGCCGAAGAACCTTACATCGGTATTCACGGAATAGTCATGCGAGCAAGCAGGGTTTCGAAGAGGGTTCAGCACGATCGACCATATCCACACGGTTACAAGACTCATTGAAGTTTCACGAGAGTACAAGATGCCGCTTTGTCTCACGTTCATCGACTTGAAGAAGGCCTTCGACTCTGTGGAGACAGAAGCGGTCATCGAAGCCTTGGGCAACCAGGGCGTCCCTACTCAGTACATCAAGATTCTTCGTGAGCTCTACAGCAACTTTACGACCAGAATCTCACCATTCTACAAGGAGGTCATCATCGACGTCAAGAGAGGGGTTCGACAGGGCGACACCATCTCGCCCAAACTCTTCAGCGCCGCTCTCGAGAACGTCATGCGTCAACTGGAATGGGAAGACATGGGAGTGAAGGTCGACGGCCGGCAACTACACCACCTTCGTTTTGCTGACGACATCGTTCTTATAACGCCGAACATCGAGCAAGCGGAAGCGAATGATGTTTATGAGAAACGGATTGGTTCCTGATGCCCCATTCACGCTCAACGGAACGAACATCACCGAATGCTCCAGCTACGTGTACCTAGGTCGGGAAATCAATATGATGAACGATCTAGCTCCAGAGCTGAGCAGGAGGAAACGAGCGGCTTGGGGAGCGTACAAGAACATCGAGGGAGTAGTGAAGAAGACGAAGAACATCCGGCTCCGTGCCCACCTCTTCGATTCCGCTGTCCTTCCTGCCCTAACCTACGCCTCAGAGACTTGGACTCTGCGCAGGCAGGACGAGCATGCGGTCAGCGTTATCCAACGCGCTGTCGAGAGGACGATGCTAGGAGTAACCCTATACACGCAAGTGCAGAGGGGAATCCGGAGTTCGGAACTACGCCAACGATCGAAGATCAGGGACGCTGCCGTTTTTGCCAAGGAATCGAAGATAAGGTGGGCCGGACACGTCATGCGATTTTGCGATGACCGTTGGACCAGAGCGGTTACCGACTGGATCCTCGGGACGTCAAACGAACACCTGGACGACCGCCGGCCCGATGGTCAGACTTCTTCACGAAAGCTCTGAACGAAAGGAATGAAGGACATCGTGTCCCTCGAGCGAGGAGGGTCCACTGGACAACTCTTGCACGCGACAGGGACGAATGGAGACGTTGCTGGCGCCCGCTCGAGCAATTCGATGATCAACGGGACGACACAACGCGGGATCAGATGATACATCCCACAGAAAATGTCTGGAATAGAGTGACGTTAAGCGTTGACTGGCAGTGAAATTTTTTGAATTTCTCAGTTAGCCTTCTGCTAGCTCTTATCGGACTTCCGACACATACTTTTCTCGTTCCAGCGTCCGCTGCGCCCGAAATTATGTTGACAGAAATTAGGCCAAAATTGAGGACAGCAGAACTTCGACTTACCAACGTATAATATTTCACCAGTGAATACTTCCCTTTGGACGAGTTCGCGGTGCTCGCATGTTGGGGTGTTCGTGAGTAGGAAGTTGTAGAATGTGGTAGTCCTGAAACAACAAGAACCAAGTTATGAAACGAAAATTAAGCATCCTGCAGCGCGGTAGCATCAACTACTAACCTTTGCATTGTCGACAAGATTCCTGCAGACATCATTTGAATTCACTAAAGGGTCATTACTGACAGTATTGACCAGAAATTTAGGGTCGCAAAGCTGAAGCCGCACATGCTCGAGCAACTGCAAAGTAGAGTGCAAAGGATGGTCATCTGACAAGAAATACAGTATTCACCTGCGGAAATAATTGCTGTCGAGCTGGTAGATCGAACCTGACCTACTCAGCAACTGCGTTGAAAACCTGAAAGACTTTGTATTATAGATGAGTATGCAAAGAAAGAGCCCCAGCAGGGATGGGAGCAGGAGGCTGTACAAATATTCAGCGAATACCTGTTCTTGTGACGGCACCTGAAGTTCTTCACTCGAAATCAGTTCAATTAATTGGTTACCAGGGAGCCGATAAAACTCGTCAGTGCCAATAACGTCCTGAGGAGATGAGAAGGATATGATTTTCTCAATTTGAGTGAGGAATTGACAAAGGAATAACCTTGAAGTTGTGCAGGATGAACTCGGAAGCACAGCGTAAAAGCTCTGCACACGCATAGGTGTCGGCAAAAGCTCGAATTTTTAAGCAATTTGAAGCATTCAGTTGTTTCTCCAAAAATTCACCGCACTGTCCCTAGAGAAAGAGAAGCAGATTTATTTATATTTTTTACTGTGCAATAATTGAACGACGGACACGCTTCCAAATGTTCACAATCCTGACCTGAACTTCATTCAGCTGAAGCAAGCAAGAGGTTGGCAAAACACTCCATACATTGCTGCTGGTTATCTTTATCCTTCCGGAGTAGCAAAAATTGACAAGAGCTTCAAGCGCTGAGGCGTTCACCACCGGCATCTCTATTTCTTTAGCAGTGAATTCTAAATGTAACGCGTAATCCAACAGTCAGAGAAGAGACAATTATCTTTTTAATTAAGAATGGAACTTTACGGCAATTTTAATCTTTGTCTGTTTATCACCGCTCGCATCGCGTGATCATGTCATTGACAGTCACATAAACATTTAATCAGCAAAGCTTCTGCATTAAAACCACAACGAAAAGCGGATTAAACCAATGAGCTTACTGCTTACAGGGACCACATAAAGGGGGGAATTGCATTGGAACATTGAACTTATAGAGAGACATACTCGAAGCGACTTTCGAAGACTCCCACATAATTCATCCCTATTTCTTCTATAAAAGGATCTTATAAAAAGACTGCTAACTCAAGAGTCAAACAAAAGCGATCTTTCATGTCTCTTGAACTCATTGGAATCTATTAGAACTCAGAAACATACCCGAGCGGCTTTCAGCCATGTCGTTTGTGAACATGGCTTCAAAATAACTCGTGCTTGCAGCAAGTACGACTCGATGGGCGCTTATCCGTGTTCCCTGAAATACCTATTTCATGTCTATTGAACGGTCCTTTGGCGTTAAGTGAGCTACCTCGGCGACCAGCACCACGTCACACAGGCGAGAGTCCTCTCGAAGTCTTGCGAGCCCAGAAACCAAAAGACGACTGTGAACAGAACTCTGAACGCCATACATGTGTATTTATTGAACATCTCATTGATTCAAACTTGGAAGACTTCCCCTGTACACGATGGTCTAAAAGTGGCCTGAGTGGCGAAACAATCCCAGTATATAAATAGAGTAAGTGTGTCTGTTGTGTGTGTATGCGTGTCTGTTGACCGGAAATTCATAGCTCGGGCACCAGTGGTCGTCAGGAGTTGGTTTCAAGATATGATATAGGGGGTGGGACGGGAACATATTTGGTGGGGTACAGAAAGTGATAACAACTGATAAGGGCTGATAAAAGGCGCTAGAACGCAAGTGTCGCAAAATTCATAGCGCTGGCACCAACGGTGAGATGCCCTTAATATCCCTTAGACAGACCTGCCCCTAAGTAGCCGATTCTTCCAACATGAAGCCACAGTTTTAATTATATACCAGTTTAGCTCCGCACACTACCGCGTGCATGACACGGAAGGGCTCCGTAAAGCTGGCCAGCCGGCGGAGCGTTAGGTTCCGCCGCTAAACAATAACTTGCTTCGTGAAATGCGTTAGCTGGCCTTCTACAGAATGCCCATTTTTAACCAACCGTCTGATACGCGCGGTGGAGTGCGGAGCTAAAGTGGTGTCTGTAAACAGCCACCATGCATTGGATGTCAGGATGATTTAGCGGTCGAATAATATTGATGCCAATGATTTTGCAATAGAAATATTATCGTATATCGCTAAACATCCATCATACATTCTTAGGGATTTGGGAATGTAGCGGTCGAACGGTATTTTATGTTGATGACAACAACGCAATGAGATGATATTGAAGTGAAATGCGTTATCTAGAATACGGTTTCAAATAATCTCCATGTTTCACGATATCATAATTATTGGCCTTTAATTGTACTTATCAGGGGCGGAAGTGGTGTAGTGGCAAGTGGCACGCTTACCACGCGAGCGGTCCGGGGATCAAATCCTGGGTCGTGAGTCGCCCGGGCCAACCAAGCCTTCCATCCCTCCGGGGTCGGTTAATTGGTACCAGACTTGTCTGGGAGGATAAAAACACTGACTTGTACATCGGCTGGCCCCCGCAAGTCATTGTATAGGCCACATCGCATTCAAACGCCACTACGAATGTACAAATGGAAGTAGAATGCGTGCCGCATCCCAAAAAGGGATTGATCAACGGCAAATGCTTTATCCTTTATCCTTTTATCACTTTCTGTACCCGTCCAACCCTGTACATCACTTCTTGGAACCAACGCCCCACTGCTGCTGGGACGCGCGCTATGAATATCGTGAAATTGGCGTTTCAGCGCCTCTTATCAGATCTTATCAGTCGGTATCACTTTCCCCACCAAATATGTTGCCGTCCCACCCCCTACACCATACTCAAAATACAGCGCTCCATGCCTGCAGCGAAGCACGCTATGAATTTCGTGACAGACGGACGGACGTGTCTTCTACAAAATCTCACAGCTCTGTTACGGGCCGTTCTACAGGCAGGAGTGAACAAAAATTTTACAAAGGCCGCCGAGCCCTACTTATTCGCATAACAAATAGCAGACGAATTTTTACCTCAAAGTCAATAAAATGATCATCTTCTTCTGCCTCGCTCATCCTCTTGCCCAGCTCCATGGCCAAAGATGGGCCCAGACTTTTCCGACATATTTCCGCTGTACCGACTATCTGAAATAAATGCGTTCAGTTCAAAGATGGAAGAGGAGGAGGACTATTGAATGTTTTGGGTGAGAAATACCATTTATTTGTATTGCATCAGCGTTACGATGCGGGTCATGGCTACA